CAGCCGGAGCTTAAACAACAATTTCTATATACATACATATATATTTTTGCGTCGTTCACTTTTGAGTTCATATACCTTGAGAACCGAACCATCTTGTTATTGAATCAAAATCAAAATCATAAAAAAAAGAAAACAAAAACATTTGAAGCGCTTTTGCGTGCGATGCAAATGTACAAAACTCAATAAACTGGAAAACCAGTTTGTCACTCGCTCATTTTGTCGCTGTCCAGTGAAATGCTAAGCTTAACAAAAGTTGCCAAAAAAAAAAAAAATTATAATTTTTTTTTATATATATATACACATATATAATAAATAAAAGAAGATATGTGTGAGCTGAAAATTAGATACCCTTGCTGATGGAGTCGCTTGAAATGTGCAGAGCTGCTAAATATGAATGAAAAGGGTTAGGCAAACTAAGGTACTTATATCATTATTTATGGACTTCTACTTGCATATATTTATCTATATCTGTCTATATGTATTTCCTTCGAATTATCTATCTTGCGATCTATCAACTTGTCCATATCTACTTAACCTTCGAGTTATCTAACTATATATCTATACTGTATGCCTTTATCTATTTATCTATCTACAAATAATAAAGTTGGCTGATTTTTATATAAGATAATACAACAAATATAATTCACTTTATGCATATTATAGTTAAATGTCTCTGAAATTAAAAACTTAAATCTGAAAAACTTTGATCTGATCAGAAAGATACCAACTTAAGGCTCCTAGTTAAAAAGTTTGTTATAGAATAAATTCAAATGGGAACATATCTCTCCTTCTCTCTCTACTCTCTCTCTCTCTCTCTCTCTCTCTCTCTCTCTCTCTCTCTCTCTCTCTCTCTCTCTCTCTGTCTCTCTGTCTCTCTCTATGAATATCTGTATATATTAAAGATACATACATAGTGGAAAAGTTTACTATAGAGACTATGGAGCATATATAGTACGAGTGATCTCTCTCTCTATATATACATATGTATATGCAACTATTGTATATAGATTATCCGCGACAGCATATATACCAAACCCATTAAGCTAAATGCAAACAGTTGATGAACTTTGGGCAATGTAGCTAAATCGTTCTATATATATACATATAGAGAGGATATATTCCATTTATATATATATTTATATTTGTATTTCTCTATCTACATACACACATAAACAGATCTACTTTTTATAATGCGTAATACAATTATCGGCGAATATAATTCCCTTGGCAAGATTTTTCAATTAATCAAAAGAGAAAAAAAAAGACTTAATTATAATCACAGCAGCAAGATCCAAGTTCCAAGTTCCAAGTTCCAAGTTTTCAACGCTCAATGATCATCGTGCATTCTCATTATCATGATTGTCATCATTGACATGCTTATGATGATGATCATTATTGTTTGTCGGCGCTTTATTTACTTTTAACTGTTTTGCGTTGCGTTTGATTTTTATATGAGATTCAATTAAAAAAAACTTTTCAGCAGCAATTTTATAAAATTTAAACAGCTCAAGAGGCCGAGCAGCGAGAGGCGCAGAGGAAAGGGGGGGTCGGTGCGGGTAAGGTAGGTAATGGCTCTCCATCTTTAACCAGTTTGTCTGTTAATCAATTTTCGCAACAAATTTTTGCACTTGCCGTTTTGGCACTAAAACTTGTTGACTTCACAACAGCAACAACAACAACAGCAACAACAGTAACGGGAGCAACAACAACATTCGAGATAGGCAATGTATCTTTGCATCTGTGTATCTTTGCATCTATATGTCCGCACATCCGCATCGATGTGTTATCTGTGGCGTTTGTTTTCGGTTCGCTACAAATTACTTAATATGCATTTAGCAGCTGTGGTTTTTGACCTTAACACGAACCGATAGATGTGGAAGATACAAACATATAGAAGCCGAAAAGCGATCTGAAAGCAAGTGTCGCGTTTCCGTTGTGGCTTTTGAGGGGCAGCATCAACAGATAGTTATGCGGCCAGATAGTTAGATAATTATTATTGCTTGCTCAGAAGATGCTGATGATGATGGTGCTGTTGATGGAATGCCAGCTGCAGCAGCAGTTAGGTTCTCAGCTGGCGATGGATACAGCTACATTTGCTGATACAGATACAGATACAGAGACAAAACAAAAAGATACAGATACAGATACAGAGCAGACGCAGATTTGATGCTGCTTTCACTGGCTAACACTAAACTCCAGCGGGGCGCTGAGAGCGTTCAGCGGGCAGCGGGCAGCAGACTTCACACAGCTGCAGTTACAGCGTCTATCTGTCATTTTGATTTGCCGCACAGTGGTGCAAGTGCATGCATAATTGCCGACAGTCAAATACATACATACATACATACATACTCGTATATATGAAAGAAAATATAAATGATGAAGTGAAATTCGAAGAGCTATTAAGCAAATCACAATCAATAGATAATCTGATTGATATATCTATGTCTATGTCAGTTAAAGGAAAGAGAGGCTACGGCTAGTCTGGTATGACTAATATAATATATAATTGAGTTGATTTTCCTGTAATAATAATTGCAATAAATACTATTTTATACAACTTGTTTTAGTATATATGTATATGGACTGACTTATTTATATATGGAATCAGAGCTGCGCTTCAGCGAGTCCTCTGTTTATCTTCTACTTTCGTTGAATGCATTTTACTAAATTAAAGCATAGTTGATGCAATTACATTTTGATTGAGTTGCGTGCCACGGTGCGTGCTGCAAATTTTGCCTTGGGGAGTTACGGGCGGAGCAGCCGAAGCACCGGCATTATTTACCGTTTGTCTACGTACGCTCGCCACCTCAATGTATACGTGTATCTGTGTATCTTTTGTCTCTATGTATCTATATCTCTCTGCATCTGAGGCGCACTTGGCGAGCGTTGCTGCTGCTGCTGCTGCTGTTGTTGTTGTTTGTGAATTTCAATCTTGGCTAAGGCAAACGGAAGCAGCAGCAGAAGTGGAAGAAGTATAAGAAGAAGAGGCATTAGTCAGATCACAACTTACCTAGCGACGACCTCAATTAGCGAGTCTTGGGCTCCATAGTTCTAACTGTGATGGCAACGGCAACACCAACTGCGACTGCGGCGGCGACTGCGACTGCGACTGCGAGTGCGTCTGCGCCTGCGTCAACGTCGTTTGTTTAATTGCTCGTTATTTCCTGTTAGTTCACATGCAGCTAAGCACACACACGCACATACTCACACACACACTGATGCGCGCGCCTTCAAAGTGCAGTTTTGATTTTTTTTTGGGAAAGCACAAAAAAAAAAAAAAAAAAAAAACAAAAAAAGTAACAACAGAAAAAAAAAAAACACCGAAACTAATATTTACTAGGCGACTGCCCACACACAGGCACACACAATTGCAGTCGCTGCCCAATTAAAACGCCAAATGGAGAAACATGTAATGTATGTAAATAAACAATGCAACAATATACGCACGTACACACGCACACACAATAGACAGTCAGAGGCGCACTGGCACAAACACACTCACAGTGGCGAGAGGCTGCGGCGAAATTCTATAGGGCCACGGCGACTACGACTGCGGCTACGACTGGCGCTGATCGACCGTTCGCCACGAAACTCGTTTTCAAACTGAGCGCTCAGCTGAGCGACAGCAGCTTTGAGCTCGCGAAAGCTCGGTGGCAACAGCTGCGACGACAACAACAACAATGACGACGGCTACGACGTCGGCGCCACGCTCTCTAAACGAACCTCAGCTACTGCAGCAGCAGCAGCAGCAGGCGCAACTACACCCAAAAGAGAGCGAGCGCACTCTCCCACATTTTTTGTTCGGCACGCTCCAAAACTGCATTTCACTGCACGCACCAAACGGGACGCAGAGGCAAAAGCTGAGGTCTAGGCTGAAGCTTTGACTGTGGCCTGGGCCTGACAATTAATTTTAATTTTTTTTTTCTGTTTTTTTTTTTTTTTTTTTTTCTTTGCCATTGTTATTGCTATTCGTAGTCAGCGATGCGATGTGCAATCAGAACTATACATAGATCGTTTTTGATGGCATATAGAGAGCCGGATACATTCATTGCTGCGCATTGAGTTGACAGTGCGGAGGGATGGGAGAAGGCGGATCGCGCAATCAATCAAGGGAAATAAACTGCATGCATTGCTAAAATCATTAATTTCCCACGACCTGACAACGGTCAGAGCTCGAAATAGCTACGATCGAGACATATATTTTTATCAACAGTAGCGGCAGCAAAAAAGGTTGATTACTCGGTTTGAATATAGCCAGCTTTCATTTGTTTTGCAATTCCACTTTGTTCATGTTGTCCTCAAACGTTTCTCTGTTCTTAGAGCAACCCAATTACCAAATAAAACGAACATCAGTTAATGTTTTCAACTTGATTTATCATGAAATCAATTATACTTGTTCAATTCTTCTTTGTGCAGGTTGTTCTTAAAGGTTTCACTAATTCTTTGTTGTTAACATAACCCAAATACCAGTTGAAACAAGTCTTTGTTGAGTTAATTTTTCGAGTTTGATTTATTTTGAATTTCATGTGTCTTTTAATTTGTTTGTGTTTTTCGCTTTCTGCTTCTCTCAAATAATGGAATTTACTATTGAATTTCAAGAGGAAAATTCTTTTTCGCTAAGTTTATCAATTTACAATCTAATGATCAAATCACAAAAGCAACAAAATGTCCATAATAATTGCATCAAATATTCATCCTAATTGTGTATTTAATTCGTATTTCAAATCTGTTCTTTTTTCTTTTTTTCTTAGATTTATAAAGTAATTTTATGCATATATTAATAAATAATAGGTAAAAAATGTTGTTGTGGGGACGGCTTCTCTAGCTGTTCTTTATATGGGCCTCTCACATGCACAATTTGATGTTCAGTGTTGTATAATGTTTAAAAGTGATAAATGCCTAATAATTCGATCTTTACGCTATTCAAAGAATTTTCTTTCATATATCTCTATATATAGTATATTATATTATTTGTATAACTACATATGTCTGTCTGTATGTTTTTTTTTTATTATTATTATTTTTTTAATTAGAATTTCTATTAAAGCTGATAAATGTACTTGATCATTTGTCTTTTGGTTTTTCATTCGCTCATTCCTTTTTTTCCATCTATTATTATAAATTTCGTATAATTTGTTTGCGTTCAACAATTTCAATGTGAAATAAACTACAAAATGCGCATACGTACATATGTAGATACATACCTATGCACACATTGCTCCTACCCATAAACTAGCTGTGAATCTGACTAAAAATAATGCTTTGTAAATATGCTGTAAATAGTTGAGACAAAATTTGGAAATAGTTTAAAATTTCGCATTTACAGCGACTATACGAGTTCGATTTACTCTAACTTAATAGTCGTTCACGAATTACAATTTGGAATAATATAATATACCCCTCGGGTATACCATCTCTTATATGTACTCGTATATCGGAAGTTCTAGAGCTACGATGAGCTGGAACTGTACCTGGCTAGCTCTATGATTTCCATGATAGTTCAGTCAGAAATATTTGATTTTTCTTCTTGAAATTGCACTGTGAACGTGTATTGTGCAGTCGGTTGTGCCCGACTGCAATTCTCTTACTTGCACCTTTTATAACTTTCTTTTCTTTTTTCTTTACGTTTTCTTTACTGGACAAATGACAACTGCAAAATGCCATAAGATGTATAAATGTTAAGCTACAAATACAATAAATAGTTAAATAGTTTATAATTTAAGGCAATTTCATTCAAATGAAATAAGAGAAGAAAAAAAAAACAGAGAATTCGAAATCTCCTCTTCCACTGGCTAATCCAGTGCAAAACTCAACTAATTTGACTTCTATCAATTGCAACTTCATTCTCTCAAAAATAGTTGAAACATATTCAATATGCTTCTCCTTTCTATAAATCCTTACTTTTGGCTGGATTGTGTAAGTGTGAGTGTGTGTGTGTGTGCCCTTTGACCCGCCCATAAAAGCTGTTGTCTGTTTGTATATTCATTAACAATTAGTAAAGCCTTGCCTCCAGGCGATGCATTCGTTGTCCCATTCGTCATTGGCTGTTCGTATTTCTAGGTTAAGAGATATTGAGATTTGGCTTCGGTCTTGGCCTGATTGGCAGAGGCAGGAGTCGCATTGCACTTGGAGGCAATTGGACGCAACCGTCATTGATCGTTTCATTGGGGTTTACTAGCTACAAAGTTTGTAAGTATCAAAAACTTAGCATAAATATTACATAGTTTTTCTCCAGCTAACATTGTCATCATCATCATCATCATCATCATCAACATCATCATCATCATCATCATCATCTTCGTCAGTTATTGATGTAAGTTTGCTCATTTTGTCTAAATATTCAGTTTCAGTTTCATCGATTTGCAGGCCATCCACAGTCCACAGAGTTGGAGATTGAACTGCCAGCAGTAACTGCCTGGGCTACTTAAGATTACCAGTAGAAAACCTGAGACTGCTCAGCTCTAGAGACAGCTAGGGAATATCCTACAATACATAGTGGCTTATGGTGCCAGTCAAGGCAAATAAACACCTTAAAAACGAAGAGCTCTACTAAGTTAAAAAGTTGATAGCGATTAGCTCAACTCTCCTTAAACTATAGCTGGCTGCAGCTACTCCTCGGCAGGACTGGACGCCACTTGACTGTGTGAACGGCCTCTGGCTGCACGATTTTCACGAGGAACTGGCTAGGCTCCCGCACAATATGGATAACTAAACTAAAGTCTTAACTAAATGCTCTATACGTACAACACAATGAAAGCTGAACGCAGATGCTTATGTATCTCTATCTAACCATGAATGATAGAGAAAAAGATATATATATGTATGGAGAGAGAGAAAGAGAGAGAGAGAGAGGAGTGAAAGAGAAGGAATGTTTATATATGTGTGTGTGGGTGTGGGTGTGCTAGTGTGAACCGACTCTTTGCTTAGCCAGCGACTATCTGGGATACGGAGTTGGTGCGTCTTCGTTTGGTGATTTGCTTCCACAGGCGTCGGTTCAGCGAGGGCTTGTCCTACAGTAAAGCAAGAAACATTTAGATTTGTAATTGGATATAATAGCAAGAAAAATAAATACTAAGAAATTAATATACAAGTATAAATATTGAAGAGCGAAAGATAAATAAAGGCATATTAAGGAAGAAATCATAAGTAAAAGCTGCATCGAAAGAAGATATAGTGACTAACTCCTATTTGAAATGTTCACGAGAAAAGGATTAAATACTAAGGAATTAATACAATAGAAAGCTAAATGCTTAAAGTAGAAAATGGTAAAATAAAAAGGCAATGCCGTGGAAATGTGAAGAAATGTTAGTAAAAAATATGCAATATGTAATGCCAAAGAAGAAAATGCTAAAAGAAAAATCATGAATACAAAAACATAATGGTATAGAGCAAAAAGTACTGTCAATCAAAACCGTCGAAAAACTATTGAACCAAAATACAAATAGTCAAATAGAAAGAAAATATTACAGATTCAGATTCGAATGGAAATACAAGACGAATTGAATACCAAGGAAAAACTGTTTGTGAAGAAATACCACGGAGTTAATATAATGGATAGAAAGCAATGGATAATGGATAGAAAGTCAGAGTGTTGCAGTCGGGTGCAACCGACTGCGTGACACTTTATTCGCAATTTTTATTTTAGAGCATTGATGATGATTCGTTGGCGAATCTGCCATATCATTCCGATCTTGGATCTTGGCGAGTATAACTTCCATATTGCAACTCGCTAGCACTGTAACTAATAACATTTCTGACATACCGGAATATGCATACTCCATTTTGCATTTGGAAAGGGAGAATAAGAATTGAAAGGAAAGTAAAGCCAAGACAGAGATATAAGCTAGAAAGGCCAAGGAAGGCAATTAAGAAACAAATACTACGAAAGTATAGCAGGAGAAAGAACGGAGAGGTCAAAGGAGTAAACGAAGTAAGACTAAATGGAGCCGGGACACGACTTACGTTCCACTTACGTTATCTTTACGTGGCGACATTTGTGCCATGTCCGCATTGTCCGGCGCCTGCCTCAGCAGCTGCTGACTGCCGTGCAGCTGCAGCTGCGACTGGGAGTCGCCACCGAGTGTGCTGTCGGAGTTGTGGGGATTGTTGCTGCTGCTGCTGCCGCTGGCTATTATCTCCGAGTTGCGGCGCTTGATAAAGTTGATTCTGCATAGAGGAAGATCGGGTTATGGGGCACACTAAATATATGTGCGTGTGCCACATGTGGCATCGGAAACGTACAAACGGTTTGATTTGCCCACTTCGGTTTCGAGGCACGCTTCAGTCATTGTTCTTGTTGCTATTGTTGTTGTTGTTGTTGTTTGTGTTTGTGTTGTTGCTGCCACTGCGTCCATCGAAGTAGTACTCATCGTCCTCGTCAGAGAGACTACTGCTGCTGCTCGGCTCGTTGTCGAGGAACAGTCGCGTCTCGTTGCCATCGTCGTCGTCGTCGTCGTCGTCGTTCGCATTTTCGTTGCGGTTGTCCCGGATGTCGCCTTGACTCGATAGCCACTCTTCGATTGAGACATGCAGTATATCTTCTCGCGTCTCGCTAAGATTTCCAGATCGCCTAATTTGTTCGCGCCGCTGCTGCTGTTGCAGCTTGTGCTGCTGTCGCCGCCGACGCCGCTCGCGCCTCCTGCTCGACCCACAGATGCAGAACTGCTCCATGTATTTGGACTTGGATGCTGGCGTTGTGGACCGGCGACGCCGGCACGAGCTGAACCAGCGGCGCGCGGACTTCCGTGACTGCTGCTGCTGTGACTCCTCTGGCCGGACGTGGTCGCCACGGCGGGACGTGGTCGCCGGTTCACCGTCGGCGTGTCCATCTTGGAGTTGCGTTGTTGAGAGTACGATATGACAGCCTCTTTTGGCTGCACCCGATTCGTGGCTGAACGACTCAATAAATCGCGACCCGTCAGACGATGAAATGTGGAGAGGTCGTGCCTAAAACGGAAAGTGAAAGAGAGAGCGAGAGAACGAGAGGCAGATATAAGTAGCTAGTCAAAAAGGCTACATAAGAAGACGATTGATAGACTGACCGACCGATGGCCTGGATGTAGAGATTTGGAGAAATCTGGATAGGTCATGCTTCAAAAAGAGTCAAGAAATCAGCTTTAACTCCATATCTAGCTAGTCTTACATAATAAGATGATTGATAGACTGACCGACTGATTGCCTGGATCTGGAGAGGTCTAGAGAGGTCTTGCTTCAGAAAGAGACAAGGAATCAACTCCTTATCTAGCTAACTGATAAATTGAATAGCTAACTGATTGACGAAGAAAGAGCTAGCATCTTTCATATCTTAGACGAGTCTAACTGTAAGCATGGCTTGAGCTGTTTATGTAGCTTCGGACTTACCCCAGAATAGTTGTTAGATCTGGACCAGGCTCGTAGCAGATCAAGTCCTCGTCCCCGAGTATGTCGTGGTTGAGAGCCAACCGCATTTCCAGCCTTGGACTTAAGCCGCAGCCAACGTGCGGCGGTGGGGCAGCGGCCACTGAACGAGTATCGGCTGCGTCCGGTACGGCTGGCGCCTGAGCCGGCACCGGCGCCGGCTCCTTGGCCGCTGGCACCGCTGCAGCTGGGCTGCTCTCCGTGCTGGTCCGCATCGGCTTTGCTGTCCTCGAGACTGTTGCTGATGAAGTGGCTGAGTCTGCCGGCACTGCGGTACCCAGCAGGCAAGTCTCGATTATCGTTGACGATGGGCGTTTTGGGCCTGCCGACGGTCCCGTCGATGCCCCCGATGCCGCTCCCACTGACGGTGCAGAGGTTCTGGTACTCGCAGGCGTTGTCCTTGACCCGATACCGATTGTGGGCGAAGCGCTGGCGGCGCCGGCGGCAGCCGCCGAACAGCCACTGTCAGCAGTAGCGCCAGATTTTCTTTGAGGTGGCTGCTAAACACCGAAAAGAAGATCGATTATTCAAAAACAAATTTCTTGCACTACCAACTAATAATCGTTGCTGTTGAAGAACCAAAGGATTAGTTGTCAATCAAAATAGAATTTGCTTAGTTGAATTCCATATCTCCTATCTATTATTTAAGTCAAGAACTGTTAAAACAAGTAATAAGAGAACATTACTTCATGAGGAAACGCTTATACGTAAGTTCTATATAAAGCCCATCTCAGCAATAAGACATCTGATTTTCGTACAAATACCCATACAAATTCCTACAATAGATCATACCTAGAACAGCTAGCTTATGCATATGTTCACAAATCTAACAACTCTCGGCCCCTTTTGAATGTCTTAGGTATAACAGCTCTATAACTAGCTAGTTCTACACATTAAGAAAGAACAATTGAATAAACTGATAAGTACTTTCGATAAGAACATGATCCATAGATTAACAATATTCAGTTGGATGGAAGTCAAAAGTTAAGATTAGCTGGAATTCAATAGGTCTTCTAAATTGTATTCAGGGTAATCATGAGAGAACAAACACACACATAAACATAGCTATAGAAGAAAGAAAGAGAGAACGAATACACACATAGAACTATGGCGAAGAGGATGATGATGGTAGATGGGTTCTGCAAAGTTTGGTTAAAAAGGGATCAGCTTGGAGTGTGATTTAGTTGGCTTACCGTTTTGGCCGGTGCAGCGCTTAGATTTGTCTGCGTGAGCAGCAGACGACGAGGCGGCGGCGGTGGTGGTATAAATCTCGGTGGCTTGACGTTGGCTCTGGTGGCGCAGCTGGTAGTGCCGCTCCCGCTGCTGGTTGTTGTAGTAGTCGATGAGGGAGCTCGACTCGCCGTCGTCGCTGCTGCCGGCCCCGAGATCCGCATCCCCATACTCGTCGTCGTCGTCGTCGTCATCGTCATCATCGTTGCTGTCGCCGACGTCGACGACGGCGTCCTTGCGGCTGTTGTCGTTGTCGTTGAGCTCGTCGTGGTGGATGATGCCGCCATAGTCGCAGACGCGCGCTGTTCGAGTAGATACTCGCAGGATGAGGCCACTGGCGGTAGCGGTGGTGCTTGAACCTCCAAGGGGGTCGGCGTCGTAATGGCCGTGGTGGGTAACAGCATGATGGTGGTGGTGGTGCGGCTGGAGTTGCTGCTGCTGGTTGTCAGCGGCCGTGGGCCCAGCGCTGTGGTGGCCAGATTCGGCTGCAGGCGCTCCTCGCTCGAGTGTGGATCCGGCTCCTCCGGCTCCTCGTCGCTTGAACTTCCAGCCGAATCCTCTAGGTAGTGGCCATTTGTCGTTGCTTCCCCCTACCAATTGTTGGGAATAGAATTCAACTAATCAATTCTGGTTTTGATAAAGCATCCAGCTTGCACTTGATGGGGTTTATGAGTGATTCGTTTTGTTGGTTCTGGTTCATAATTTGAGCAGATTTTGATTGTTTTTGATTTTAGTATTTTGGAATTTCGATTTGGATTCGTTCGATATCGATTCGGATTCGGATTCGGATTTGGAAATATATTGTATATTGGCTTTTGCATGATTTTGACATATTTGGTGCATTCATTTCGATTGTCAATCGTTGTCAATCGCTCGCGGGTCTCTGTCCTGGCGTGTGATGTTTATGAGCTCGCAGTATTGCAGGTTTGGCTAAAGCTTCACTAATTTCACTACGACTTTCTATATATTGTATATATTAAAATATATTGATATACATATATGTATAGACACAAACCATCAAACACACACATACACATATTAAATACAGTTAGTTAACAACAACGAGAATGGAATACATTGAAAGCGAGTGGCAAATGTTTTACAGTTTTACAGTATTACAGTATTACAGTTTTACAGTTTACAGAGTGCAAAAAGTATTTGATGTTTGATGTATGTATGTATGATTGATTGATTGATTGATTGATTGATTCGATTCAAGATGATAAGCATGATGATGATGAAGATGATGTTGGTGATGTCAAGCGGTTGGCGCACATTTGTGTTGTTAATGTAGCATATGAAAATAAAAGACAAGAAACACAAGTCAATCAAAAATTCGATCAATCAAGTAGAGAATTGATTGATTGCAATGCATGCAATGCACTGTATAAGCCGTGTATGCATTTACAGCATAAGAGGTCCCAAAGAAAATGGCGCTAACAACATTTATGTTGAAATTCAACATTGAAAATAAAAAATTGAAAAACAGAAAATGGAACATGGTAAAGTTTAGTTTGAGACAAGTAAGAGTGTTGTAGTCGGAAATGCACGACTACGAGATACCCTGAACGTTGCACAGAATTGATATTTGAACAATCGCAAGCTACTATAGAGACACACCCACACATATACACACATATATAAATTAGTTATTGAATAACCTCAGCTCTAGATGCATATGAATGAAAGCCCAAATATCGAGAACTTTGAATTTACTCAATGAAAAGATATCCCGAAATAAGAAAAAAAAAATCAAAATTTATTTACGTGACGGATAGATATTTTGACTCAGTTGGACTAGACAAATAGATAAATCAAGTATATTAAAACTTTACAAAGTCTGTGTTGTTTCCTGCTGTTTTTATTCTCAGGTTCAGGGTATACAAAATATTTGTTTGAATCGAGCTGAAAGGATGCTGAAAGTTCGGTTTGCATGATCTTCCCTTGCCATGCCAACAACAAAATAATAATTCGAAATGAAGTTGAGTAAAAGTGTTGAAATATGATTCGATCCTTTGTCAATTATTGAGCTTCGATAGTATTAAAGTTTATTTTATTTATAATTTTTTATATTATTTGTCGATTGATTTGTTCTAAATACGACCCACCTTTTTGATATCGTCGCTGTCCTGTTGGGTTTTCTCTTCGTCGCTTTCGGTCTCCTCCTCGAACAGGGGCTCAAGACGACGTCTAAGCATTACAAGTTACGTTATACGATGCGATATACGATATGAGATGTAACGAATTGTTTTTGTTTATTCATTTTTTTTTTTTTTTTAAATTTGAAATTTTTGAGCGTGTGATGAAATGATATAAATTTTGGAATTGAGCAAAATGTTTATACATGTATATATATATACTATACCATATATATAGTTTATATATATGGTATATAGCACTAAAATGTTTGCAAAAAATACTCGTTTATAAGTTAGCTATGATTACACTCGACTAGGCACTACGGAAGGATGAGACTAGTTCTTATGGTTGGGTCGGCTGGTCTGTACCAAAAAAAGAAAAACAAAAACTCGAGCTAAACTAACCCAAGATGATCAAAAAATGTCTATATAATATATATATATATATCGAACTCAGATATTCTAAAATGGATAACGAATTGAACTGAATTGAAATGGTTTTCTTTTTGTTTTGTTTGATTGGGATTACTTGTGTGTATAGAGTTACGAAAGAACGCAAGAAACACCTGTAAAAACTACGAAAAAAAGACAAACATTTAAGAGATGAAGAATATATAGATATGTAGGATTACTCGATAACTAAATAAATGAGAGCTCTAAAGATCAGCTTAGCTGCTTAAGTGTACGATATAGTGTCTAAGGCATCTAACAATTTAAGCTAGTCATTGCTATCTCTTTCGCGCTCTCGCTCGCTCGCTCTGTGTGCTGCTATCTCGCTCTAGTGTGGATATCGATGTTCCTTACCGTGGCAGCAGTCCCCGAATGGTGCTCGCTGTCATGGGCGGCGCCATCAGCAGCTCATCCATCATCAGCTCCGTATCGTCGTCGTCGTTCAGCGAGGTGCTCGACTTGGTGGGTGACTGCGGGTGACAAGGGTGTGTTAGAGGCGCTTGGAGGGGAGGGATGGAGGGGTAGGTGTATGCATCATCACTTACCGAGTGCGTGTTCTCCGAGTTGATCAGCTGCATATCGTCGTTGTCGCCGCCACTGGTGGGCGTGCCCCAGACCTCCTCGCCACTGGTGGCGCCCGAGGTGCACTCGTCCATCTGCTCGTCCGTCTCGGAGGCCGTCTGATTGGCTCCCTGCTGGGCCTGCTGCTGCTGCTCGTTGGCGTTCCAGCGACCCAGGTACTTGTCAATGAAGGCGCGCGACTCCTCGAAGAAGGACATCTTGTCGGTGACGAAGGCCCCAGCGCGATTCGTCCACGCGCCACTGGCCAGCACATCGCCATTGGTCAGAGTTGCGCTGGAGCAGTTGGCCGTCAGCTCATGCAGGTTCTGGGCGAGCGCCTTGTCGGCCGTGGCATCATCCACGTCGTCGTCCTCGTCGCCATCGTCGTCGTCGTCGCCATCGTTGTCGGCCTCGTGCTCGAGATCCTCGTTGAGGCCGTTCTGCGCATAGGGCTCCAGGTCGTCGTCCAGCTCGTCGGAAGGCAGCTTCTCGAGGCTGGACATTGTGCCGAAGCGCCGCAGCGCGCTGCTCATGGGCCGATACGGCGGCTCCTCTTCCAGCGGCGATTCGTCGCACGAGTCCTCCGGTATATTCTCAATGATCGCCTGGCGGGGCTGCTTGATTGCCGTGGTCGTCACCTGATCCATGCCCGCCGTACCGCCGCTGTTGTCCCACACGTGCGTGCTGGTCTTGGTGAGCACCGCGTCCGGCGTGGGCGGCACCACTGCTATGGTGGGTGGCGTCGTCTCCTCTGCCTGGCCGCACAGCTTGGCAGCCGGCGCGAACTGCGCCAGCCCGATCAGCATCAGCGACAGCTGTTCATCCTCCTGCTGCTGCTGCTTCTGCTGCTGCTTCTGCTGCTGCTTCTGCTGCTGCTGTGTTTGTTGTTGTTGTTGCAGCTGCACTGAGCTGGTCTTCTGCTTGGGTGACTCTAGCAGCTTGCACGTCTGCTGCTCCATCTTGTCCGGCGCCAGCTGGCTAAAGTCCTCCGGAGTGCAGCGACAATGGCAAGTGCTGGCGCCGGCGCCGGCGCCGGCGCTGGTGTTGGAGCTGCGTTCAGTGTTGCGCATAATGCGAGCCGTTTCCGTAATGGTCACAACGGCCTTCACCTGCTGACGCACTGGCTCCTGGCACAGCTGCGCCACGACTCGAGCGCGCCTGGGCGGCGGCTGTGGCGACCCCGTTGCTGAGGCGGAGGCGGATGCATTGGCAGAGACGGAGACGGACGCGGAGGCGGAGACAGAGCAGTGACCGTTCGGCAGTGGCTGCGCCGTCTCTAGAACTCGTAGCTTGGCGCTGCTGCTGCTGCTGTTGGGCATGGCGTTGACGCTGTCATCTGTCGCCTCTGATTGGGACAGCGACAGTTCGTCGGTGATTAGTTGGGCCACATCGCTCTCCGTGTCGCCGGTCTCGCGCCGGCTGCTGCTAGCGACTACCTTCGAGGAGAGCTCCCCGGTGATGGTGCTGCTGGAGATGCTGGTCACGCTGCCGGTGCCCGTTCCACTGCCAGCCACTGCTGACCCAGCTGCCTGTCCGGCTGCCCCAGCTGCTCCAGCGGTTGCAGCTGCAGCTGTGCCGTTCAGCTTGCAGCAGCGGTTGGGCGAGGACTGACTGTGCTGCACCTTCAGCGAGTTGCACAGCAGCGACGAGCCACCTGCCCCACCCGCCTCGGCTGCAGCCGAGCCACGCCCCCCGCTGCCGCTGGCACCGCTCTGCTGGCAGTTCTTGTGGCAGTGACGGCACACCGCCAGCTTGTCGAGCACAATGGGACTGGAGCGCACGGTGATCTAAGCGGATGAAGCCACAAACCAAATACCAAATAATCTAGCAATACGTTCTACATGGATATAAGCTACCAGAGATGGGCGAAGGGCACGCAAGATTCGACATGTTTCTTAAATACCTCAATAAGATACAAGCCCTTTGAAAATGGAAATTCAAGGTGTAAATTTCATCTTATAGATATGTATATCTTATATACATATATATGTATGTATTGTCATCTTATATATGTATAATTGCAGCCCATTAACCCATATTAATACCCACATATGTATATACTCATAACCGATATATTATTATCTCTGTCTGTCTGTATCTATCAGACTATCTCTATATATACGTTTATATAAGCTAGAGACTTAATATGTGCCCAAGCTATCACACTTGCAAGCTATCATTAAAGTCATTTCATTTTCATAAGATTGATCTGACCTTAGATACCCAGCATTTTTGGCTGGATTCCTTTTATCTACTTTAATATACAGCCTCTATATACGAGTTTTTAGAACTGATTTTCAGGCATTCTTTCATGAGGTCTATTGAGGGGCTTATTGCATTCTTAATGTGTTTTAATATCTTCTAGTTTAACTGCTCCATTCTTATGCCTCCTTTATAATAATTTCCTTACTATACCCTCTCTACAATATATACTATATAGAAGTCTTTTAAATGTAGAACTAATTTTTAGAGTTGTCTTTAGGTCTACATATTTAATTCAGGTGTATAGAGCGTATTGAAAGGTATATATATACCAAATTCGAATATCACATGATTGTAGCTATTATATATTATGAATACCGCTTAAAGAATGTTCCATCTGAACTAAAAGCTAACTGAAACTAACCTGAAATTAAAGAGTGAAATCTAAGACCTCTGGAATGTACTAATACGCCCTTAAGCATTAGAATGGAATGGATATATGCAGGACTGAATTAACAAGTAACCAAAATAGACAGTTGTCTAGGACCCCGGATTTTAGAGCACCTCGAATTATGAAAGAGCCTATACCACCTTTACAAATATAAAACTCCAAAGTAAAAGTAAAAAGGGGGGCCCAAATTAAAGGCTGTCAAGGGCCTCGTTGAGGGTTAATCCGGCTCTATATATACGTATGTACAATATAACAAATAGAAAGCAGTATGTATGACCGATAGATCTAAAACTCGTTGTGTGTGATTCGCGATCTTCTCAAGCATTCGGAATCTTGCGCCCATCTCTAGGGGTGAAATATACTAGGGAAAAACATACCTCACTCACCTGGCTGTCAGATGTGGTGCTATGCGATTGGCTGATCTGGCTGGTCACCACCTCCGCCTCCGAGTAGATGTCCGAGGCGGCGCTCAGGCTCATGCTCAGCTCGTCGACGCCGCTCAGGCGCTTGCCCCCGAAGTTGGGCTTGGCGGAGAGGCCGCCCAGCTCCTTGGCCAGGTTGAGCTCCTTGGTGCGCTTCTCCAGCTGCTGGCGTGTCCAGTAGATGATGCGCTCGTCCTGCTCGCTGTCGCTGTTGAAGATCAGCTGCTCGTCCTCGGCGCTAATGTTCTCCTGGGAACGGGCAATGGCCGCCAGTCGCGCCTGCTGCTGCTGCTTGTCCAGCTGGCCCTTCATCCAGTTGGCCAGGTGCAGGGCACTCGACCTCGGAGTGCCCGTCTTATTCAGGATGCGGCACTTCTCGTCAATCAGCAGCTCGATCTGCTCGACATGGCCATGGCCAAGGCTGGGGCCGCGCTGCTGCAAGAGGCGCTTTGTTTAGCTTGAAGCTTAAAGCTTGAGTTGACCTAGCCATGCCCCGCCCTAAACCAACCGCAACCACCACCCAGACGCACAACCACAATCACACAGCGCTGCAGCTGCCCGACGTTGATTGCAAATTAAAAATTTGTGATGGGCTCAAATTAATATCAAAATTTTGGTTAAAATTTTTCGCTTTAAACTTATTTTTTGCTCATAAATCCTTCTTTTTTGTTGTTTAGTATTTTAAGCTAGTTATTTGTTTCTTGACTTTGGCATTTATGGTTTCATTTGGTACTTTGCGATATTTTTCATTTATTATTTAAAATTAATTTTTAGTATTTATGTTGGCGTTGATATCGAGAAACAGAAACAATAAAAACGCGCGATCTGTGGTCAGAGGCCATCTTTGATTAAAAACGCTTGCACTTGCAGAGGTTCAGACTGCGATAACGATAACGATAAAGATAACAATAACAAATCGAAGCACAAATCATAAATATGAAAGTAGAAGCGACAGAAGTATTTTGCAATGGAACTTAAACTAAACTAAAATTGAGGCCATCACAATTTTTAATTTATCAATTTTTTTTTTTTTTTTTTTCTACTTTTTTTTTTTTTTTTTTTGGTTTTCTGGTCAAAACAATTTTGAGCGCAGGATGAACCGGGACCGGGATAGTATAAAATTCTTTTTTTGTTCTCTTTTTTAATATATAGAATAGTTGTTGGGCAACGTACAGAGTGGTACAAAGTGAGTGCTCGGTGGGTTTGTTTTTTATTTGGTTGGAGAATCGTATTTTTTTTTTTTTTTTTTTTTTGTTAGGAATTGAAATAAAAAGAACATCACAAGCGTTTTTAGTCAAAGACTTTTTTGGTTTTTATTATTCATCGTTTCTCAACTCAACTGAACTCAATTGAACTAATCTTAACTCATCTCAAATCATCTCATATATGTAAGTCTTGCACTTTGCTGGCAACTAAAAAGCATCTAAAAAGGGAAATCAAAAGTTTTCAAACATATCCTAGATGAGCATTTGTCACACTATGCATGACATATGCTGATTCTTAATACTTCTGTATATATATATATACATATATTTATATATATAGATATATATATATATACATATATCGAGGGTATATAATGTACTTTGTATATATGTGAAATTACATAATAGTTATATATAGCTTAATGCGAATAAGGGAAAACACAAATAAACTACGGCTACGGCAACACAAATTTGCTCGTTGGGGCGCCGCGTACACGAGGCGTATACACGATATTTCGTTTTGGAAGGCCATTGAGCCAACTGTGTGTGTGCGTGTGTTTGTGTGTGTGTAGTGAGATTATATCGAATCAATGTATGTGTGCTGATGCGTGTAGAATTTCGTGTGTGCTCAGATTATATCAAATTAGAGCTCAGCGCAATGCAGTCGCAGCTATTGAGGTCGCACAGTGGCCCAAAAACTATCTTCATGTGCTCATAGATCAGAAACTGTTGCTGCAAATTAATTTAAATGGAACATAGATAAATAAATGTGGCCTAGAAACGTACTCTATTATCTTGAACTTTTCATCGAATTTTGACACTTTTTATGCTTCACCCTAAGAATTGAGAATTACTTATGAGAATTCCTAATGATTTCCTAATAATTTAATGAATTTTAATCGAAAATCTAGCAAAAAAAAGGTCTATAATAAAAATATGATAATTATTTTGAGCTACCATAAGTAAGTATATTCAAAACATTTCAGCTTGAGCTAACTGCCAAACAGAAGTGAGAGAATTATATGACTGAAGAATATAAATTTTCTTATTGCACATAAACAACGTTACTAATGTCACTATTACCCTTAAGCTCTGTCAAGGCCAACATAAATCAGTTCAAAGCCGCAAAGGCGGCGCTAATGAAATGCATATGAAACGCGCCCAGAATAGTATGCTACATATTTTTGCCAATTAGAAGAACTTTAATTGCAAACATGACTCAGCTTGAAGGGTTAATTTCTTTGAGGGCAAATGAAAGCTACAAAGTATTTGGCATGCAAAATGCAAATTTCCATATATGTGTGAGTGTGTGTGTTTGCTTTTGTGTAGGTGTCTGCATGTGTGTGTGTGTATTTATGGAGTTACGACTTTATTACACAAGGCAACAAAGTGCGAGTCATAACAGTAAATAATTGACAACGACATCTTTATCAGAGATCCATATACATATATCTATATACATATATATATATAACATATATATATAGTATATATATAGAAAGACATTTAGTATTATGTACCAATGATTATTGCTAAGTAACATACATTTTCGCTAAGTGTACGTCTGGACGCTGGAGTCTGAGCAAAGATTGTTACAGTTACAGTTACATAGCTAGCGTATATATATATATATATATATATATATATATATGTATAAATATGTGTGGGTGCGGAGTACTATGTACACAGAGGGAGATCGGGAAAGCAACAAGAGGATGAGATGAGTCGTGTATAACCTACAATACGAAAAACAAAAACAACAATTCTTATGGCAGCGATTTTTGATTTTCCTCTTCTTTTCCTTTTTGGCTAACGTATCAAATTAAGTTTAAGTGTAGGAATTCGAATTGAACTAGGGACACAATTTTAGTTTGGTAATACATAGAACAACAACAACAATAACAATAGTTTCGTATCGATTATTTTTTCAAAATTTCAATTTGGCTTTTGCTACAAAATGGAAGCATTTCTTTAGTTAACATATTTCTTTTTTTTTTTTTTTTTTTTTTTGATTCTAATTTACTTCTCAATTTTATGCTTAAGAACGTTGGCAAAAAACATTTTAAATCGAATGAATAAGACGATCTATATGAATAGTTAATCGTGATTTTAAAACAGAGTTTAAATAATTTTTTTTGTTTTGTTTTGTTTCTTTTTTTTTTACTGATTTTCTTTTGTATATTTTTATGATCGCATTATCCCTGCTGCTGGAGCGCATTTACTCTATAATTGTATGTACACATGTATATGCGTGTATATATATATGCATGTATGTATATCGGGCTATGTATATGCATGTGTATATTTGACTATCTAGGGGCATATTAACTACTCTAGTATATACTAAGGACTAGAAATTACTATGTACGAATTGCTTTACTCTAGTATTACATACAGACACATCGGCATAAATATCAACCCAGATCTTTTGCTTTTCGTGATATTTACACTCAGTTGGCTGTGGATGATACGCATAGACGAATACAAGAACGAGTACAATAGTATATATAGATTTACGAGTATATATAAATATTGTATATATATATATATATAGATTTTTGATCGAGATGGGACGCTGAATACACTCATTTGCATATGTAGAAAGAAAAAACGATTACGATTACGTACTTAGCATTGAGTATACTCAAGCAGTGTTCATATATATGTATATACAGATTTATATGTATAGTATATATATATCTATATATATAATAATAAACCTGTTAGCATTAGTGCAATTTACAAAAGATAATTCACATTTGATTATCAAAAAACCTGTACAATATTGATAATATATATTTGTATATATATATGTAAGACTTGAATACCAAAGCCAAGACCAATAATTGTTTATCAATCTGATCGATCGCAGAGAACTGAGTTAAAACTCCTGAATTGCATCTGTATATCGTTAATCTAAAATCGCAGTTCACTAATTGCGTTTACTGTGTCAGTTGCGGTCACAGTTATCTTCCATAAGGCATTCATTAAATAGATCACACTCATTTACTCAATTGCTAAGGATCGATAGGTGGATCGCGTGTGGAACATATTTGAAAGCGTTGTCGAATCGGTCGAGAGTCTAACACCCATTAAACAGAGTTTAATCTGTGTGGTACCCATGTGGAGTCTAGGTCGATCATATATGGAGTCTATGTGGAACGTGGAACCCATGTGTTATAAGTAGTATGGAATCTGTGTGCAGATAAAATGCACTAAGTGTGGTGTTTATGTGAAAAGCTCGAGGAACATAGGGGGATCACGAGTGGATCCCATGTGGAACGTGTGCGTATATTCGCATCCCTTTCTAATAGAAATGGGACCTATGTGGAATCTGTGTATATGAAACACCAAAGCAAGGCAAAGAGAGCAAATAAAGTTATAAGAGTGAGGGCTAAGGCAGAAAGAGAGTCGCGGACATAGGGATTGGATGACTTGTAAAGTTTAGAGTTGTAGAGTTTGATTAGAGTAAATCAGTTGGGTGGTTGTCTAAGCTCATTTTCAGTTAAGGATTCCGCTTGTGTGCGTGTGTGGGCGTGGCTATGGCTGTGGCTGTGGCCTGGGTCCGTTGCCGCATCGGTTAACAGCCAAAAGTCAAATCACAGATCCAAGGAATCCGGCGGCGTTGGCTTGGTGGGCAGCATGCCAAATGGATCGTCTACAGCGACGACGCTATCATCGTCGCTGTCATCGTCAAGATCCGTTTGGCCGATGTTACCATCACCAGCTCGGACGCCGCCGGCGCCGGCACCCACACCATCGCCCAGAAAGATGCACTCCTCCACATCCGTGTCGTAGCACGGATCCAGATTCACCTCATTCAGCTGCAGATCCAGCTCCAACAAATCCCAAGAGCCGCCGAACTCGGCCAACGGTATATTGGCCACCGCTGCCACGTCGGCCGTTGTCGGCGGCACAAAGTCATTGGAGAAGGCATCCGAGTTGCACACCAGCGAGCTGGGCGACAGGTTGGGCGTGGGCGTATCGGGCGTGGTCAGCGAGGAGACCTGCTGAACGACATGCGTCGACTCGTCGATGAACGAGCGACCCACCGAGCTCAGACTGAACTCGAGCAGCTTCTGCGCATGCGTCGCCACCGACACGGCAGACGAGGCAGCCGGTTCGCTGCTCGCTTCGGGTATAGCCGTCAGGCATTTACTGCTCGCGCTGGCGCTGGGCAGCGACTGCGTTTGCGACTGCGACTGCGACTGCGACTGCGTGTGGGCGGTCAGGCTGACGCTGCTGCTCAGACAGGAGCTGTTGGTGTTGAACCGGCGCAAGCAGCTGTCGCCGCCAATGCCAACAACACCGCCCACGCCATTGGGCATGGAGCCGCCGCAGCTGTTGGTGTGCGCACGCACGCCCCCCGTCAGCCGGGCGGGCGAGTTGGTGCGGGAGGGCAGCGAGGCCGTCTGTGTGCTGGCCGTGATGCGGGCATGGGCGTGATTCGGTACTGCGCCCGATACGTGGCTGGGATGGGGCGTCGGCACCAGCGCACTGGCCAAGCGCTGCAGATTCTCATAGGAATCGGCGCTGTCCAGGCGCTTGCTGCGAAAGAGACGCACCTGCTGTTTCTGCTGCTGCTTCAGGTTGATGCTGTCCAGCGAGGGCAGCTTCATCGATCCCATCGATGCGGACGTCATTCCAATGTCACTTAACGGCACCAGCGTGTTCAGCACATCCGGCGAGTCCAGCGGGCTGGACAGAGGCGTCGACCCCAATGCGGCATTCACCAGAAAGCTATTGGTAAAAGGAAAATCAAAGCAGAATTGGTTATAGAATCGGATGATATGGGCATTGCAAAAGTCTAATTTAGTTATAATTTAAGCTATTGAAATAAATTCTTCAGAAATAGTATCACTTGTACTTGGTTAGCCTTTGAAAGTTTTTAACGTGGAAGTATATGCAAGTAGAGTAGAATCCGGTTGTAACGACTCCGCTTATAACATTCGTCCGGTTATTGCGACGAAAATTCAATGTCTTAGCTAGACCCCACAGACATATATGAAAGGATCTCCGCTAGGTTATAGCGCCCTCCGGGTTTTATACATGAAACCATCGGTAGGTTAAGCGTCGTTATAATCGGATTCTATTGTATATATTAATTATTCCATGGAACACGGCCCATAAAGAAACTTCCAAATATGCCCCATTTAAGCATCTCATGTTAGGTAATCAAGCCATAGAGAGCAAGTTGTAAATGTAAGGTATCAGGAACGTTTGATATGCATTCAATCCCTTATGGGGTAAGGTACTAGAATGGATGAAAAACGTCAAACGAGTAATTAAAAGGCTAAGGGACTCTTCCCATCCCATTGGATAAGAAATTTCGTTGGACAACAAGTGATAAAAAGCTTGACGAGTGCTTGGAAGCCAAAAGACTCTTCTTATAACAAATCCTATATCCTACAGAAGTACAGTAGAGTCCGGCTATAACGGTACCACTCATAGCATCCGTACGGCAACGTATATTCTGGCGTCCCTCGGGTATAACGACGGTCCCTTTAGCTCTCTGCTATCCAGATTCTACTCTAATTACAAATTCATTCGGTAATTAATCAAAGCTTACATTTGACGCTGTAAAAGATTCTGCCAGACGGCCTTCAGCTCCAGCGAGGGCGCACGCAGGATAAGACTCTTCCGCCTGGCACCCCGCTTGGGCGTGCGGCTCAGATCCGGTGCACAATATCCTGTGGGGCTTTCGGCCAAACGGCCGTTAGGATCGACAGTCAGGCGGAATTCCGTGGCTGTGAATAGCAAAAGGGATTGAGATGATATTCTAGCTCGACTAACAGAGCTAAGCCCAACTGAAACACTTTGATTGTACTCACTTTTCTTACGCATGTGAAAGCAGGAGTCGACGACGTTAGCGATGGGTATGGGCTCCTCGGTGATGAACAGGACGCGATCTCGACTGACCTTGGCGAACACAATGATGTCGCTGAAGAGCAGCGTCCAGTAGGGCTTTATCGAGCGCCCCTCGACGCGGGACAGATCTCCGCCGAAGATCCACTGACGGCCCTGCACGGCCAGCGTAAAGGGCTTGCACTTGGTGAACACCATGCGGGACTCCAAATCCTGCAAGGTCAGAAGCGGTCGGCCCTCGCCCAGGGGCTCCATCAGGCCGCTGCTGACGGTTATCTCGCGATAGGCGGCCTGCAGCTCACCGATCACAGTGGTAAAGTTCTTGTGCTCCTCGGTGTCCACATGACAATTGCTGGCCAGCAGTTGCATCAGCTTCAGAATCTCCCTGAAGTGCTGCAGCGGTCGATGGATGAACATTGTGAGATCGGGCCGCCTGCGCGGCACAGGTGGCTCGGTGATAAAGGCTACAAACTCGGAGCCCGTCTGACGGGACTTGTTCACCAGAACGCAGTCGGCCCGCTTGATGCCATTGCAGTACTTCTTGTAGGCGGCGCAAATCGCCGTCGTCTTCGACAGATAGACCCGCGAGGCGAAATTCATGTGCGGCTCCTGCTCCTGCTCGTTGCTGCACAGCTGCTCCAGTATGTCCTCGGCAATGCGCAGCAGCTCATCAATGTTCTGAAACAAGGTCCGATGATCGTTCGGCGATATTAGGTCCTTCCGCTCCTGCAGTGGCTGCACAAAGCGCTGCAGTCCAAAGTGGAGTGCCGCCGTAAAGTTCTGCTCCCGACTGATGAGCTGCAGCAGAAAGCGTCGACGATTATCCGTTATGGGCACAATGGACTGCATCGATGCATGACCAATGAGAGAGAGAGAGACAGACAGAGAGAGAGAAAGAAGCATGAGGGTTACGTTAGCTTAAGTAAAGTTCTAGCTTCAGCGTGTGCTAGACGTATCCATTCTAGGAATTATCCAAACTATTCAGAGCTATCCTATCCTATCCTATCTTGGATTGATATCTGTATAAATAACTCCTCGAGCCAACGCCCTGATTAGGCTTTGACTGCTGATTAACCTGTATGTGGGTTGACCTATTCAAATCATTTTTATTCATATGCTAGAACTGAATTCAAAGAAAGTAAGAAACAATTGATATTTTAATGACAGTCTTAAGGATCTACTTAAGGTTCGCAAAAAACTGTCCATTAGATGGTTAAGAAGACGAAAGCCTAAAAACCTTTTCATCCCCTAATCTAATCTAATCTAATCTAATCTAATCTAATCTAATCTAATCTAATCTAATTTAATTTAATCTAATCTAAGACTCTGTGGAGATAATTGAGTAAATATAAGAAATATACATATATATTAAACAAAACAAAAGACAGTCCAAGCATATAGAAATCCTGTCAGTAAATCGATGGAAAATATTTCTAGTCCATGTATATTAATCCCAATTTGAATTCCTTAATCCTGCCTGGATGATACTCGCCTTTCATTTGACATAGTTTGTTAAATAGCTTTTGGATTGAGTTGTGCTGATTGTAACCGAGACCTTTAACCTAGAGCCTAAAGCTATGCAAAGCAAAAAGGAAGAAAACCCAATTAAAATGGCAATTAAGAGAACGGAAACAGCTCGTGAGAGCTTCGAGCTCCGAGCTCCGAGCTCCGAGAACCCACCGCACGGAGGAAACTTAAAACCTTCGTCAACGAAAGCGAGGCAAAGCAAAAACAATAGTAAAAGCAAATAAAACCGAAAAAAAACTTTATTGTCAAGCAAGGGATGAGGAAGTTTCAGACGGGCTTAGGGGGTACAAAAAAAAAATAGAGGTATATATACATACATATGTATATATGTTTCGCAGGGCAAAAACTTAAACGTTAAAACTTAACAATAATACGCTAAACATATGTACAAAGTGCAAAGAGTAAGGCAAATCGAAAAAAAAAAAAAACAAATAGAAAAAAAATATTTAAGCACATTTCATAAGTAAAGACAAATTCAATAAGAAACAACTAAAATTAGCAGCGGTCGGGGCGGTCGTGTGGTTGAGTGGTTGAGTGATTGAGTGGTTGGGTGATTGAGTGGTTGGCTGCTTGGTCTCAGACAATGACGCCCTTGCCTACCTCCTTGCTGAACGTGACCTGGGGCAGGTGGAGCCGCCGCTTGGCCGCCTCAATGGAGGAGGTGGTGCCGGAGCAGGCGGTGGCTGGCCTCGACAGGGTGTTGCCCAGCAGCTGGGGGCGAACGCTGGCGGTGCGCTGCTGCAGCGCCACAACGCTGGCTGGCTGCTCCTCTAGTCCATAGAGCAGCTGCTGGCTGCGCAGCTGCGACTGCTGCTGATTATGGATGACACTTGCTGTGCCAGCGCTAGTGCCTGTGCCTGTGCCTGTGCCAGTGCCTGCGCCTATACCTGCGCCTGCGCCTGTGGCTAGGGCTGTCGGTGTTGCCGTGCTGATGGTGGTGGCATTGGTGGCATTGGTGGCCATGTTGGCGCCCGCGCCTGACCTTCTGAATATCTCCAACGTTAAGGACGAGCCCTGCGATCGTATCAAATTCAGAACATCAGCCTCGGGCATCGTAACCACATTGTGCTTGTCCACAAAGATGACATAGTCGCCCGGCAGGATGCCGCAGCGATCCGCTGACAGGCCCGCCTCCACCTTCTCGACGCGCGGTGGATGCGTCCACACAATGGAGAAGCCAAATCCGCGCTCCTCCGTCCGGGTCAACCGCTTGGTCATCGTGAACGGCGTGCGTCCCGTCGGCTGACGGCCGCCACCGCCGCTGTTGCCCGGCAGCGTCGAGCAGCGCCGTGTGCCGTTGCCGCCGTTGAGATGATTCGCATTGCTGGCATTCGCATTGTTGGCATTCGCGTTCGCATTGGACATGGCGTTCGCATTGAGTGTGCCGGCGGACGTGCTGCCCGTGTTGCCGGTGTTGGCCGTGGTGCTGTTCGCATTGCCATCGGCGGGCGGGTCCAGCTCGAGGAAGCGCAAGAACAGATTCTCATCGGCATCGCGCTGGTGCAGTGCCTTCTTGCTGAGCACCATCGTCGGCTGCTGCAGCGCGTCCTCCTTGCCATTGCCCAGCGGACCGACGGCGGCAGCCATGCTATCGATGCTGATGCTGATGACATCATCGCTCAGCACGGCTGCGCTCGTGGCTGTGGCTGTGGCTGTGCTGGGGGCTGTGACTGGGGCTGTGGCTGTGGCATTCGGTTTCACTGTAGCCGCCATCGTGGACATCTCAACCGCTGCGGGTCTAGCGTTAACAGTCGCTGTAAGCTGCTCCTTCACCTGCTCCCTCTGCCTCTCCCTCAGCTTCCGCTCGATTGGCTTCTCCTCGGTACGGCTTGTGGGCGTTGCGTGGACGTGGACGTGCGTTCTGCTGCTGCTACTGCTGCTCGTGCTGCGGCAGCTATGAAGGCATCCCTGCGAGTGTAGCTTGTAGGATCCAGTTGCGCCGAGGCTCTGCTGCACTAAAGCGCTCAGTGGAAATGTGAGGCAGCCGAGGAACTCACTGCGTCTGCGAACATGAAATTTAATGAAATTGAATGTCAGTCAGCGAAAAGCGAAAGGTCTTCTCATATGGAAACAGCATGCATGCAACCTGAGACTGAGTGCCACAGCGTGCGCCTAATTAGATTCACGAGCCACTTTGAGCTGACAGCAGCTACCTATCCATCTATTATATGCAATGGAACTTTAAACCTCTTTGAGTTTACTTTACTACAAACTTATTTGCATATCCAAACCGACTCGCAATTAACAAATCGAGCTACACTAGTCAGAGAGTGTGAGAGCGAGAGAGAGAGGAGGAGCGTGGGACTAACTACTACCTCTTTAGATTCGAAAACTAATTTACAGTGCGCCGTGCGTAATAGACTGACTAGCTCGAAAACACAAACGATTAATAGAGGAGATAGGCAGCGCACGATGTCGGACTATAAAGTGGACTAATGGAACTACCTGAGGGTAAATTGTACCAAAGAGATCCCGGAGATAGCTAACTAGCCTACACGAATGCCGAGCGCAAGTTGACCTTTTCGAGGAAGCTCCAAGCGAATCCAACAAATCATGAACTCCATTTGGCCAAGGGCAGCTCGAGTGAGTCCTGTCCCAGGACTCTGACTAGAAATAGTTTCAATGACGTCTTATGAGATTAGATGTTTTGGACGCTTTGCGTCACGTTGCATTACCATTTTGTTTACCATTTTTACGGACCCTCCCTCTCTCTCTCTCGCCCTTTCCCTCTCCCTGTCGCTCTATCGCTCTGTCAGTGCTCGCAACACTTCCGCCTCCCCCACCTTGGCAGGCAACAGCTGCGGTACGTGACATAAATCAATTAGCGCCAACTAAGCTGTCATGGCTTGGCATTCCTACAGATCCACAACGCAGCGATATGTCGGCTATGGGTGGGCGGGACGGAGGGACCCCCGGAAATGCGCCTCAGCCTTCCTCTTCTTTAGGTGCTGTAGGTGCTGTAGGTGCTCTAGGTCTGTCCGCTTTGAAATTTTGCCCGCGCGTATTTGGGTCAGTTTTATTGATTTTCATTTGCTGCAGCAGCGCCAAAGTTGGGCGATTGCAATCGCAACTGTCTGACGGACAGTTTCGGCTTTGGGCCCAGCGCTGGAAGGCGGGCACAAAGTTCAAGGGGGGTGGGGGCAGGGCTGTAGAGGCGGCAGCAAGGACTTGAGGGTCCTTTCGATTTTCGGCAAAGCTCGCCCGCGCACGCCAGGCCAAAAAAAAAAAAAAACGGAAACCGAAACAGAAAGGAAAGAAATAAACACAAATGGGGCCAGTGCATTAAAAATGTAGCAGGCTGCGTAGCTAGTTGCGACAGAAACTGTTGCCACCTGCCTTGCCACTGCGGACGGCAGCTTATGGGCTGAACACTTAACCCTTGCCACAGGCCCATCAAAACGGTAAATGAATTATTTAGCGAATAGTCGTTGGGCAAATTTACTTAAAATGCTTTACGAGGCATTTGCAAATAGACGACAACAAGGAGAACTATTTTTCAAATGTTTTCATTATGCATGCATAACAAATGCGCCAGGTGTGTGTTGCTCGTCACTCTGTGTGTGTGTGTGCGTGTGTGTGTGCGTGTGTGTGTGTGCAGGTGTATATGGTCCCAGGTGTGCATTTAACTAACTGCCTGCTTCAATTAGCCAGGAAATGGCATTGCCTCTGACCTGTGGCCATTGCATAATGTGGAGCGCGCTTATCGATTTGACATAAACGCAAAAAGCGATATGAATGACCAAATGTGTGAATGCGTGCATGACGGAATGACGGAATGATGGTTTGATGGTTTGCATGAGCAGGCCAGCTGCCGTGTCCTTGAATTTCAATTAACTTGGCCATTGAGCGCGTTGCTAACTACACTCACACGCTAGCTAGCACACACACACACACACACACACACACACGCACGCACTGAGAGCAGCGCGAGGCACAATTATTAAGCAGCATGCCTAAAATTATGCTACACAAAAACTCACATACTAGCACGCGCACACGCACGCTGGCTAGCGGCTGGCTGGCTGGCGGGCACGCACACATAAGCAGTTATATAATTTTGTGTTGCATACTTTTAGCTGCCAGCGCAAAAGGCAATTACAGCACTGCCAACATACCAAAGAGTGTTTGCATTTAAATAAACACACTCGCACACACACACACATACACATACACATACACAGAGCAGCACTGAGAGCATGTGGCACACGCTTGCAATTGTTTGTGCACAGATGAGGGAACAAGAAAAAAAACTTTCTCAAAAAAAAAAAAAATGCCACTAAACTAAACGTTTAAACGTGTAAACGTTCTTGAGTAATAATTATTAATTTTGTTATCGCAATGGAGCGAGCACACACTTTTCAACATTTGTTGTGGGAAACAGTTAGAGCACGCCGTCGTTGCGTTTCGTTCGCTGCGTGTGTTCCTTGCCGCAGCAGCGTCGTTGCCAGCCTCTGCGTCTTTTTGCGTCTGCGTCGCGCGAGCTTAACACTCGAACTGAGCGCAACGTTCACGTCGAGCCGAAACGGAACAGAGCACGAAGAGGAAGAAGAAGAAGAAGAAGATGTGGAAGAGGCGGAATAACACAACGGACAGCCAACCTAAAAACTAAAGCCCAGGCAACATTTTACAGTTAGCTGGAAAGCGGCCTAGAGACAATGGGGCTCACAGCGCCTGCGCTGGATGTGCGCCATGCACATGTGTGTGTGTGTGTGTGTGTGTGTGCTGGAAGTCGCTCCAGAGCTAGTTCAAGCCGCCCACCCCTACCCACTTCGCCCGCTGCGGGCGCTGCGTTTGTTTATGTGCAGGAAATGCACAATGGCAAAGTGTGCTACAGGAAAACGTTACAATTAGGCTGAGACACCCCGCACCACTGCCTCCGTCAACGCCTACGCCTCCGTCCCGCCCCCGCCCCCGCCCCAGCCACTGTCGTTGCCTTTTTGCCAGGCATATCCTTAGCTTAGCATTGTCCTCGCCATTGGGGGTGAATGACACGCGCGCAAACATGACAGACAGGCGACAGTAGTCAGCCTTCGATATGATACTTGTTTGGCTGCTGATAGCTGCTATTGACCTTACTCGTACTCACTTCAAATGCCGATCCCGATGCCAAACGGCCAGCTGCAGCGCTGCTGCTGTTGTTGATGTTGATGCTGATGCTGATGTTGATGCTGACGTCGACGCCGTCGCCGTTGCTGCTGCTGTTGCTGTTGCTGTTGCCTGCAGCATAGCATCCTGCACATGGTAGCTAAAGCGCTCATCAAAGTACGGACGACTCGAGTGCCGATGGACGGCCGTGCGCTGGTATCGACTCGAGTTCGAGTTCGAGTTGGAGCTCGAATTTTCGCTGCTGCTGCTGTTTGCAACGCCGGAGAGTAAGGCCACCTTGACGTATGCATTGATGCTGCCAGCGCCGTGCAATCGCTGCAGATCGCGACAGCGTATAACTGTAAAGGAATTTCATATATTTGTTACATTATCACATTGACTTTAAGCATATTTTTCTCTTGGGTCAACTCTGAAGGTCTATGCATGCAGTTTACTAACTATTTCTATAGCTGCCTATAGTAATACTGTATTAATTAATAGATCAATCAATAGAATTTTTGAAATTTAATGTTTTATCCATTTTGAGATCACACTGATATCGTATACTATACGAATGTATGTTTCGTTTAAAAAATCGAAATAGCGAAACTAAATTTCATATGCTAGCTCATTCCATCGTTCCAATGACCTAAATGCTTTCTTCAAGGAATCTTAATGATGAGGATATGAACATTAGAAAGCGCTTCATTGCAGGCAACAAATTCTCAGTGTTCCACTGTTTCATTCCATTGTTTTCAGGACGCAAAAGCTTGATTTAAGATTTACAGTTAACTAATTGATTGATTAATCCAGCATGAGAAAGCCTTATCCTTTTTGTTGTTTTGTTACATTGTCCCCTGTTTCATTTTAAAGTTCCAATGAGAAAATGCTCGATTTACGAAGTTTAAGTTGGGTAAATGGAGATAAATGTACATTTCATTTCAAGCTAACAAATCTTTAGGTTCAATTAGTTGTTCTAGTATTTCATTCCATCGTTCCAATGTATGATTTAAGAAAGCTAGGCTGAGAAAATAAATAAAGAGCGTTTCACTCCAGACTACCATCTCTTTTCTTTCATTTCATTGTTCCGCTTTATATATGTATATCCTTATAGAACGAAAATATCTATGCATGCACATTATATAGGGATAAAGTGGAGTGGGTGAGGGGATGGGGAATAGGGGAAGCGGGACTCTGGAACTCACCATGTACATTTAATTGCTGTTGATGGGCATCGTAAGCGATGCTCAAGTCGATGCTGCCACGTGGATGAAACTCGCCGTTGCTCGTCGCATTAGAATGGGAGGCGGAGTTAGAGTTGGAGTTGGAGGAGGCACCCGAGACGCAGGAGGCCATGGAGCCACGCTTGGCAAAATGCTCCTCATCCTCCAAGTCGCTGGATGTGGAGCTCGAAGAGGAGAAGCTCAGGCAACGCTTGATGCTAGGTATGTGCTCCAGGCTGGGCTGCTTTCTCAGGCCCAGATTCTTTTGCCTCTCGACTGCGGTCGAGGCAGTGGCAGTGGCAGCGGCAGCGGCAGCGACTGCGGCTTGCTTTTGTTGATTCTTGCGGCGCACTACGCGCTGCCGCTTCAGATGGGTGGGCGTGCGCACCTCCATCTCGTGGACGCTGCTCTCGCTCCACTCGCCATCGCCAGGCGTCGCTGCCAACGTCGCCGCCGTCGACGCTGATGCAGTTTGATGCTTGCAGCGCACCTCCTTGCGCGCCGACTCTATAATGGCGTCCAGCATGCGATCGAGCGTGGTGTCACCCATGCGCGAGGACGACAACTGCGAGTCCTCCAGGCCGCCCCCCGCAGCGCCAACAGCGCCGCCCAGGCGTGGCAGGCAACGCAGCGCTGCCAACTGCGGCGTGGCCTGACGCGGTCCGCTGCCCTCGCTGAAGCTGCGCCGCTGCGGACTCTTGCCATGCACGTTGCTCAGATCCTGCAGTGCAATCAGGCTGCTATTGCCGAAGGGGCTGCTCATGAAGTGGACCCCAAAGTTCTCCTTGTTCGCATCGCCGCTGGCATTGCGACGCCGGCCGCGCGTCTCCTCGACGCCGCTCGAGCTGGAGTGCCGATGCATGCGTGTCATGGTGGGCATGTCCTAACCAGAAAAGAGAGAGAGAGACAGAAAGAGAGATGGGATTAGGAAAGAAGACTGGAAATCTTAACAATAATTCGTAGTTTTATGAAAAGCTTTCGATTAAATCACATTTTGAGTAGGCTTTAAAAGCTACATTTAAATTGAACTTTAGCTTGATGAATAGCTATAGCTTGAGGCATAGCTTTAAAATAGCTTTAAAGCTTCGATAGATGACAAAGACAAGTATAATCTGAAGCATTAGCTTAAGCTTGTAATAAACGAACATTTTGAGTGCACTCTCTGATGATTGATTGCAAGTCTTAGCAAGACCTTTCGATTCAAAAAAAAAAAAAAAAAAGTAAAAGTTGTAAATAAGCCTAATATTGAGGAAATCGCTTAACAATATAAAAGCAAAATCAAATGATGTATGAAAACTAGAAGCTTTTCTTATATCTCAACAAACGTAAAAGCTTCTTAAAGATTAAAATCAGATATGAAAATATTAAGTAATCTATGAGCTTTCAGAAAAGCTTTCAATATACCGAACTCGCATGTTTTTAAAGTATTTCTTCCCCACTTGTTATATGCAGCTATTTGATAAATATGATATTATAGACACATTTATATATATGTATACAGTACAATCCGATAATACCGACGATTGAGAGGCCGTCGTTACATCCGGAAGATGCAATAACCATAAGAGTTTGTTCATATAAGTTTGTCTGAGGACCAGAATTTTCGTCGCAATAACCGTACGTACGCGATGAGCGGGGTCGATTCAAAGAGGTTTCAAACTCGTCTACTTGATGTACATATGTCAAATGAGTTCAGGGAGTACTATGTATACTTATTGCAAGTAGTACATCTCAAATTAGGGTTTTTAACAATCTATAGACATAGCATTTATATATATAGATAGTTTCCCACATATACATACATATATATTCCCTTTCAATTCCTTCAGACTTTAGTTCCCTTTGCTGAGAGACAACTGCTCTACAAAAATCATCTTTTCTTTGCCAATTTGCTGACATTACAGTTATTTTAATAAAGCTAAATTGAATCGTTTACGTATCATATGATAAGATCTCGATCATATGAAAGGTGGTTCAGCATAGTCGAGGTGCTATCTGGGCCAACTTAGGCAGCTGGCGAGCGAGTTTTCGTTTTGCATGCAAACTGGCTGACAAAAAAGAAGAAAAATAAGATATATATATATATATATATATATATATATGTATGTGTTTGTGTGTGTATTTGCTATATTGAATTCGTAGTTATAATGAAGCGTCGCAAGACAATGGGCAGAAAGCAAGAAATTTTGCAAATTGTTTTGCGGCAAACGAGTTTTTCACATACTCGTCCTGCGGCTCCTTTTAAAGGACCTTCTGATGCGCGCGCGATTTCTGGTTTGCCTGGTGGAATTCAAATTATGCTTATGCTAATTTCCAGCAAAGATTCCTTCTGCCTTATACTTAAATAGATTGCTTCTTCTTTCTGCTACGCCGCAAACCATAAAATTGAACGAGTCCTTGCCAAAAATAATAAAGGATCTGGCAGAGTCTGTCTCTCTCTCTCTGTCTGCCTGTGTGTGTGTGTGTGTGTGTGAAACAATTACGCCCCAGCATAATGATGCCATTTTTGCCAAAGGAGGAACTTTTTCGAATGGAACGAAAGGATCGTTCTCATTCTGTTTATCTAGCCTTCAGGCATGCACACACACAGACACACACACACACACATAGACAAACAGACTGAGTGACTGACACACGCACAATCGGAAAGGAAAATAGGGCATTCATGTAATCCATAAACGTCACCCTGAAGAAAATTAAAAAATTGCAGCCAGTCAAGGCGAGAGCGCAAAAAAAATGTTTTTCCATTTACTTAAGATCTGTTGGAAGTTCGATCTGCAATCGAAAATGCCGCTCGCACCCTCCTCTGATCGAGGATTAGCAGCTCGCCCAGGGTAGCAGGGGGAAAAACCAACCAAAAACAAAAAAAGTGATGGAAAGAAGGTCGAAAGAAAAGCAGCAACAAATTAAATGTATTAGAGCAGCGCACCACCCCTTTTGCAGGGAACTAATTTTTTTTCTTTACTGTAGTCGTAAGTCTCCTAGTTGTGGGTCTCTCAGTCTGTCTGTGATCTGTGTGTGGATGTGACTCTAGGGGTTAGGTCCTTTAGGGTTTCCCTTTTCCCTTTGCCCATTTCTTGGCCAAATTAAAATTAGAGCTGGGGCAAAAGACAAATAAGTTGCGGCACATGGGTGCGAGCGCAATTACACACTCACACACATGTGTGTGTCTATGAGTATAAGTGTGTGTGTGTGTGTGTTTGTGTGTTTGTATTGCCAGGTGTGAGCGATCGATGTAGCTGAGACTTGACCGAGTACTCGGATCACATGCAACAGCCCAACATAAGCTATCGATTACTCACAATCTAGAATACGACACGATCTTAGATAAGCGGAACACTCTGCACTTACCTGATAGCTGAGCTCGGTGTCCTCCTTCTCTCTCTATATATATATGTATATGAATAGTTATATATACTATATATATGCGACTATGTCGCCTTTGCAGTTTCACTTTTAAATATATAAATCCTTAGCACTTTTAACTGGCGCACAGCAAAAAAAAAAAAAATGGATAGACTACGTGTTTGAGTCCAGTCTGAATCAGAGCTTAGGAATCCTGTTGTGGTGCTCTCCTGCTGGATTTAGGTTCTGTGTGTTTTTACTGTTCGTACCGCGCGTGAACGTCTGCAGCGCACGAGGCAACAAACGGAAATGACGAGCGGATCGAGAGCTCGAAACGTTTATGGGTTCGTTTCGCCCGAGCAACCACCCCAGCAGACAGATAGAAGAGAGCCCAAGAGAGTGAGAGAGAGTAACAGTGTGTGTGTGAGAGAGAGAAAGTAGGAGAAAGAGTGGGAGAACAGAGATCTATGTAGACCAGAAAAGATACAAATAATAGCCAGCAGGAAACGAGATCACTTTGTCAATGTCCTTGGGCTTGTTAGAATTCCTGAGGAATCTCTGCTGATGGAATTTACTAGAATCAAAAGTCGTCCAGTTTTATATTTATTTATATTTATATATCTATATAATGTATACATATGTACATGTATATATTTTATAACTTAATAGTTCATTGATTTAGATAGAGCTTCAGGTGTTCGACCGATATGCCTCAACTGAAGCAGTGCGGCCTCAGTCATTGTAAATGCAGCTGTATATTTTTGGCCTCATTCATTCAGCATTATATTATACTCAAGCTGCTATAGATCCAGCATCCATCATTTCTTGTTTCCTATTAAACCTTTAAATATCCCAGCTCAATTTTTTTCGAATGAAACTTTCTTGATCTTCATCTTCATATTCTTCATACCTACAACGGTGCGCCTCATCAGTTCCACGTGCAACCCATTCTCGACACAAGTTTTTGCAACAGTTGCCTCACAGATTAAATTGAGCTGCTGCCACCCGACGATAGATGGCGCATGTTGTTGAGCAGCTTAAGAGCAGCAACACATTGCCTCTCGCGCTCTCTCTCTCTCTGTCTCTCTCTCTCTTTCGCTTTTGCATTGTACGCTCTCCTGGAGGCAGCGGCTTACCTGCCGTGTCCTTTGTGCCGGCCAGCATTGCCGGCAGACAAAGCGTCAACAGCTGCCGCACACTAAAAATACAAAAAAAAAAAAAGTTGCAAAAGAAAAATAAGAAAGGTAAGAAAAACCCACACGGCGACGTCGCAAGGTGTCTTAGCCCAGATTTGTCTCGTGTGTTGTTATTTTCTTTTTACTAGAACAGCAGCAGCAGCAGCAGCAGCAGCAGCAACAGCAGCAGCAGGAGCAGGAACAGTAGCCTAATGTCTCTGTCCAGCACTGATCTGTCGCACTGAGGGAACGGACAGCGGTCATTACTTTCACTTGGATATTGATTTCGATTTTGGGCCCATTCCCATACTCCCTCCCTCTCCTTCCCTTTCTCACTCTCTCTCTCTTTCTCTCTCTCGCTCCCTCGGCCCTTTGTAGGCGGCAATTTACGAGCCAAAGGTGAAGCTTCGGTAAATATTTGTCCAGATGCTGGGCTGCCTGATCTTATGCGGACCGTCTCGTGCCTTTCAATTAGCAGCCGTTCGTTCGTTCGTTTTGGCCGACTTCAATTGTTGGCTAAAAATTTATGCGCGCTCTTTATGTGACGTCCGCTGTCCATCTTGAGATTTTACGAGCGTTCGGCCAACTTTCTGATAGCATTTGAATGGACGCCTTTTTCAGTCAATACGATTGCCATCCAGCCGTGGGGGTGGCTCTGTTATAGCCATTCCAATTGCTATTCCCAATCCCATTGCTCTAGCGATTCTCCGAATTCCTTAACGAAAAGTCCTTAATGATGCTTCCAACCAAATCGGAGCACTTCACATGAGTGTCCAGCTGCCCAGGCGGCTGTCAGCTGTGTAGGTGTGTGCGTTGCTTCATCTCTTCTTTTTTGATGATCTTTCAGTTTCAATTCAATGAGCTTCAACAAGGAGATATTCAAATACAGTTAGCTATTGGATTGGAACAGCTTTATGATAGAGCAGTTGATCTAGGTATACGGAATCTTGAGTTTATGTTTGATAAAGGAGAATTACGGCTCAGGAAACCTTAGACTTACCTTAGTTCAGCTCCTCTAACTATAATGAATATTTAATAGTTTACTTTACTTTCACGTGTAAAAAAGTATGTTTTGAATGCCAAACAAGATGTTAAAGACTTAAATCACAGGGATGATTAGGATTACCTTAGTTCAGCTTCTGCAAGCATAAGATGAACTAAGAAGTTTAAAAAATATGTTAATCATTGGATGAGATATAAAATCAGACCTATCTCGCCTCAATATTTTGACTTGAATCATTAGACGTATCTATGACTGTTTGTATACGATATAAACGTATATGAAACCTGTATAAGAGATATGTGTCGATTCTTTTATCTTAACCGAGCGGAGAAGAAGATTGTTTCCGTAATGTCATGAGTCTGATGTATCCAAATGGATCTTCAAAGAGATAACTCCAATTTCAGTTTACAAACCAACCACGAATACTCTACAATTGGAGCTACCTCAGGCTAGAGCTCATTTTGATTAAACCTATAAGATTGTACCCTCCGTCCTCCCCCTTCACTAGTGAGCCGCATCGCAGTAATTTGCAATCAGCTGTCTATTAATAATGTTTGCGCTTTTCATTGCTGTAATCGATACGATTTTCATAATCGTTTTTGATTTGAATTTCAATCTGATTGCAATTTTTGTATTTTGTATTATGCGCTTCATTAAAATGAAAATTAGCAAAAACAAGGAGTGAGAAGTGGGATGGATGCAAAGGGTTATCGACTATCTCTTGTCATTGGGCCTGGGGTTGTTTTCCTGTAACGTGTGCGGGCCAATTTGTTGCTGTTGCTGTTGTTGTTGCTATTGCAAATTTATCTAAATCGTTTATAAATTCAACTTCCCAGCAAAAATAATAGCAAAGGGTTGCGGGCCCGATTTTTGGCAAACTTATTGCAAATGCATTTGACACTCGGTTACGGAAATCGGATCATCATCGATGTGACAAACCCCTTGACATATGTGGTGTGTATGCCTCTGTGTGTGTGTGTGTGTGCGAATGGGTGTTGCATTTGCCTAATGGGCAGCAAGCGGTAATATCGACCAAATTAGCATCAACTTGATTTTTGCTTGTAAACGAAGAGAATGCATTTGCATTTCGGGCCAACAAATTAAAAATGCAAATCTTCAAGCTCAGATTTGAGCAGAGCGATGCATAGCCATACTCAAACAGACTGACACACATACACATAAGTGTATAAATATGTATATGAGAGAGTTTCACTTTCCGGCAACATGAGAATGAAAGATGCCCTTTGATTGACAGCTTGACACGGCGAGACACTGAAAACGCGCGCCCGAAGAACGAAAAATGGGATTGACAGTTCCTACGATCGACCGATCGTTGGTTCGACTGTTCATACCGATTTTTAAAGAGCGCAACGTCACGATTCAAGGTCTTTGTTTTGATATTCACTTCACAGTGCACACGAAAATGGTAAATGGAAAATGAAAAACCGAAAGCCGAAAACTGAAAACGGAAAACGGAAAACTGAAAGTCGAAAACTGAAATCTCCAAAACTGAAACTGAAACTCAAACTGCGTTCATGAATGTGATCTGCTTTGGTCCTCGCGACAATTGTTGTACATTTTTGCTTGAAATTTGATAAATGACATTAAAAAAGTGAATAGAGCACACACACACGCACACACACACATACGTACACATGTACACACACAATGAAGGTAGCTTGTCCAATGGACTGCAACCGCCTGTTCCGTTTTTTATATACCCTGTGGGCAAGTTGTGTTCGAGGAGCCACATAAGCCAGTTGCAACATCAGTCACGCAATTGAGCCCACATTTTGAATGGGAGGACTTTTTCGATTTCACTTCAACAATTTTTGTCTATTAGAAGTAGTTGTTGTCTATAGATCTACTACTCTCTTCGCCCACGTATGGGGTACATCTGAATTAGTTGTTGGACTGCCCTAACACAGTTCATACCCCAAAGTTCTCTTGATTATATGTGAACTAGAAACTGATTTTCACATATTATAATAGCTAGTTAAAGAAACGAAAGGAAACCACAAAAACAGCTTCATAATTATTTCATTTCATCAAGCTCATCTTCTTGTCAGCTCCATTGCATAACTGCTAGTCATGCAATCGCCTGCTGCAGCACTCCCAAAGCCCAAATTCTGTTCACATGCCACCATCCTTTGCAGCAGCAACCATCGTGCAACAGTTCATCGTTTCGTTTGCAAAAAATATCAAATTAGTGCAGTTTTTTTTATTTTTTGCAATTTTATACAAATCTCTCCATATATACACACATATATATAAATCTGTATATATAAATATGCATTGTGTCTGCTCGGATTCCAGCTCAGACAGCGCATTGCTTACAAATTAAACATCTTTTTAGATGCCGCCGAATTTGCATTTCTCACAGCGAAAAAAAAGACACACACACACGAAAAAAGGGTTGTCCTTTTGCTGCTTCTGGTGTGCATCGTCGACTGCGACTGCGGCTCCTGCCAAGGCACCCAAAAAATTGTTAAGTAAAACGACCCAAAATTCAAAAATACAAAAAAAAAAGTAGTTTTCAGCGCTGTCTGCATTGCAGTTCAGTTCACTGTCTGTTGCTTTTTTTTTTTTTTTTTTTTTTGCTTCAGATGATCCTGTGAGCTGCTGCAACTGCGTTCCCGAAGCGAACCCACCAAAATTTCTCAGACATTCAGGCGCCCTCAAGTAATTTGACATACAGCCCAAAAAAAATGAGAAAAGATAAAAAACAAGTAAATAAATGCACTCTCAAAAAAGTCTGCAGAAAAACTTGTTATGCTGCATGTCAAGTTTAAGCAAATGACATTTGAACTGATTTATGAGATGGCGTTGGCTCCAAAAAAAAACATATATTCCCAAACTGACGACATTCCCTACTGAATCGTACTATATATCCCTCAGATACGTAAATATTAATATGATTCAATACATATGTATGTAGTAACACAGATACATAGATACATAGATATATAGATACATAGATACATAGATACATAGATACATAGATACATAGATACATAGATACATAGATACATAGATACATAGATACATAGATACATAGATACATAGATACATAGATACATAGATACATAGATACATAGATACATATATACATAGATACATAGATACATAGATACATATATACATAGATACATAGATACATAGATACATAGATACATAGATACATAGATACATAGATACATAGATACATAGATACATAGGTACATAGATACATAGATACATAGATACATAGATACATAGATACATAGATACATAGATACATAGATACATAGATACATAGATACATAGATACATAGATACATAGATACATAGATACATAGATACATAGATACATAGATACATAGATACATAGATACATAGATACATAGATACATAGATACATAGATACATAGATACATAGATACATAGATACATAGATACATAGATACATAGATACATAGATACATAGATACATAGATACATAGATACATAGATACATAGATACATAGATACATAGATACATAGATACATAGATACATAGATACATAGATACATAGATACATAGATACATAGATACATAGATACATAGATACATAGATACATAGATACATAGATACATAGATACATAGATACATAGATACATAGAAACATAGATACATAGATACATAGATACATAGATACATAGATACATAGATACATAGATACATAGATACATAGATACATAGATACATAGATACATAGATACATAGATACATAGATACATAGATACATAGATACATAGATACATAGATACATAGATACATAGATACATACATACATAGATACATAGATACATAGATACATAGATACATAGATACATAGATACATAGATACATAGATACATAGATACATAGATACATAGATACATACATAAATACACAGTTGCTCGCATTCGCGTTCCATTCATAAAGATAATAACCATATCGCAATCACAGTGAAAAATCATATTTTACGCAAACGTCTTGGACCCAGTGGACGAAGATAGCAGAGGAAGAACAAAAGTCGGAAAGTGTGAAAGAAATGCGAGGTCCAGAATTGTTAATTTCATGGCGAATTGGGAGCGTATCGACTGGACAGCAGCTGAGTCGCAGCTGCATCGATTTGCTGTTCGATCTGGACCACACGAATTGCCGCCTTTGCAGTCGAAGCTTTGACATGATGAGCGATCACTGCCGATCAAACAGAGTCAACTAATGCAAATTCCCAAGACAAGACAAGGAAACCCACAGAAAAAACACAAAAACATCAAATCGAAAGCAAACCTCAGCCTCTGTAAATGAAGCAATTTCATGTAAATTACGAGACAAGCGCCCTATTTACCGAATTCTAAACGAGCCATAAAAAAAGGAAGAAAAAACCTATGTCTAAGACCATAAGAGAAAATGAAAACATAAAAAAAAATGGGAGAAAAAAACACATCAGCCATAGTAAATTGCGGTGAAATCTCATTAATCTTTGAGGTAGATTAGAAAATGTGAGGCACAAAGCCGAGCGCTCGATATGCAAAAGGGAGAGAGGGTCGCAAATCGAAGGATCCTTCGAAGCAACGCAGACGATCGTGCGGTGGTCAATCTTTGAATTGGTCGATCGGTCGCACGATCGATGCATAAATTTCCCTTTACTTAGCGTCCTCTTGTTGTTGTGGTCAGTCGAGAAAAATTCACGCACGGCTGCTTTCTGGGCGACAGTTTATGACGGATCAAAAAGCCGCAACATCCTGGCGCAGAGTTTATGATAACTTCATTAAAAACGATTTTGCGAATAGATCGTCGTGGGAATTCCCACTATGCACATACACATATATAGATGAATTGTAGACACAGCGACTAGCCGAATTGTGTTTGCTGTACTCTTGCCAAAGATTAATGATGCAATGCGAAAGGTGTTGGCCACAAGCTGCAGCAAACCAAAAAAAAAAAAAAGGACCCCATCAATGTGGCACGTTCAATTTACTAACAAACTTGTCACGCAATGCCACAGACCACATCATTAATCACACTGATCAATCCGTCAAGGCGGCTGCACGTGTATGTCGATGTGTGTGTGCGT